TGGGTGCAAATTCAATTAATATTCTACTCATTCAATTAAATGATTGTGTTTTGTGAATTTATAAAATCGATTTCTTTTTATTTTCATTTTTCTGTTCCTGAATAGCATTATAATAAAATTTTATATATATTATGGCATGCAGAAATAACTGACTTAAACATCTGCGAACAACTTTCTTTGCTCCGTCATTTTTTGTCTTTGCACGATAAACAAAAGTACATTTTATTTTTATATTTCTTACTTCTTTCTTCATCTCCTTATGCTTGTGCTGTGATGTTGCTTATAAATAAACCAGAGGAAAGAAAGCGAAAGCATGTAAGATTGCATAACGATGCATACCGATCGAGTCATTCTTTTCTCTCTTTTCGCTTGTTCGTTCTTTGCGGGTTAATTGCTCGTGGGTTTAATTAAAATTTGCATTGATTACCATCTAGATAACATCGAAAAGAATTTTTAACGTTATTTCAAAAATTAAACTATCCCGCCATTTTTTTCAAATCATTTAAAAACATAAATTGCAAATATTAGCTGTTTTGAACAAGATTACTGTACGATATTGAACTAGTGCTGTTTGCTCACTTATTTTACATCATTTTAAGTAATTCTAGAGACAATCAATCTTTAAACAAATGAGAAACTAATGTTTAAAAATTCGAAGTGGAAAAATTTTTGTTATTAAATTTTTTCATAACAATCCAAACGAACTGGATGACTTTTCGAAACGAAAACTGTTGTTGATCATTCAGTAAAACTTTGTCGCATTCCAAAAGATCTTAAAAGAACCATCATTGAAATAATTCCAAGATAATAAAGTCATAATTGGACATTTACAGAAATCTTAAAAGACTTTTAACTAATTTTTTAATAGGCACTGAATTTTTTGTTAAGCTTACAGGAAAAATCAGACGTTGTCGGTTTGATCCACGAAAGGTGTAAACAAAAGACATAATTTTGATGCCTCTTTGGTCAAATATTTAATTTGCAGCAAGTATGGAAATGCTTAATGAAATTCATATCAAAAATGAACAAAAAATGATTATTTAAATCGTCGTGGGTGTTTGAGCTCAAGGTTACTAGCCGAAGCAAACTTGAAAAAAAATTCTCTATTTTGATATCGTGTGTGCGGCCAATGACGTCATAATCTCAGCTGTATGTTTACATTTTATGAATGAAATTCATTGAGAGGCAAGAACATATGAATGGAAAGAGTCTGACTTGCTTATTTTTATAGGAAATAGGAAAGCGATAAATGTTGCAGCTCTTGATAATCTATTAATATGTGTCAGCAAGCCTAAATGCGATAATTATTTAATTTCGCATTTAACAACTTGCAAAATAATATTTTTTTTTCTAATACGTAACTTCTTCAAATAAACAAGTGATTCAACTACCATCATCGTGGTCATGCATTTAGATATAAGAAAGCCAAGATGACCCAAAATAAGCAAAGTTAATGATTGCAAAAATCGATAGTAAAAGTGTTATGACATGTATTTAGTGACTCTTAATCACCATAACGATGCTCCTTGTTGATTTTTAGACTGAAACAATCAAATTTATTTGTTTAGCTTATTAGCAGATAAAGTCAATATACTGTTGACTCTAAAATTGGACATTACAGAGGAATTTCGGCTTCTGAGATGTAAAGATGTTTGATTTGGATAGTAAACATGTCTGAGATTTGATTAACTGGATGTTTTATCGACTTTTGTTTATTGGACAATTAATCAAGATCATTATATTGAATCAGTTCGGGAAGCTTTTGTAAAAAGAAAGATCCATAAAATAAGCCATAATTCTTAGAAATCTTTTAGATTAGCTTTATTTTTGTGCTTGTAATCTTGAATGTTTTATTTGTTTAAGAATTAGACAAGTTTGAGATCAAATAGTTCTGATGAGTATGGCCAACTCAAACTTTACTCAAGATTACTCTGCAAGTCGAGCAGATGTTTAACCTAATTATATAGGAACTCTAATTCAAACATCCAATCGATCAAAAGATCATCAGATCAGATTCATAACCTAAAATCAACAATTCAAATCAACTCATCGATTATATTAATAAACATGCATTCCAATTGTTAATATCCGCAGTGACTTTTTAACATTTATCAAGCTACAAAAATATTTCTTGATCTTGAACTATTGACGAAATAAAATTTGCATGAGTAATACACAGAAATAGCAAAGAAGCATCTAATTTTTTGCACGTTTCTTAAGTGTTGCGACTCACCCTAGCTTTTAGTTATGTCAACTTGCCAAAAATGCAAGTCTTTAGGCTTATTGTTGTAATTTCTTCCGCTTAGAAGGTGAGAAAATTGTGAATCTTAATTTGTTTAATCCACAGATTAATGAGCAGTGACCTCAAGAATTAATGGAAAAGGTGCGATGACAAAGATTGACAGCAGTTGACAATCAAAACAATTGATCTATTCATTATTGCAGATTTTTGAACTCACTACACGTCAAGCTATGCAATATTCCATGTTCCAAAACTACATCCAACAACATTTCACTTAAAATCTATCCAAAGTTCCCAAAAAACATGCATCAAATAGCAATCAAGAACCGCCAATGATGAAATCGTCTCCCATAAAATTTATGAGCTTATTTGCTACGTGAAAAAACCTACAAACTCCTATTATCGCCATCAAAATTTGACATAGCTCTAACATTATGTAAATTTTACTTGGTAGTGACCGTAGAAATTCACAGAGAGACTTTTATGTCCATAATCGACAATAGTATTGCTTTGCGTACCGAATTAGCTGCGAAAATGTTTGTAGACTTGTCAATTGCTCAATTGCTTGGTGACTTTGAATACATCTGAGAACCAGATTTACCCACATTAAGTATGGAAACAAAGTACAAAGAGAAACAATTTAAATTCCTATTGAAAATAAGCAGCAAGGTATTGATTTCTTAAAAGAATCTTAAAACTTATTGTTGAACCTACGAGCTGTTGCTGCTTTTATTTATACTTTACAGTAAATGCCACAACACTTTCCGCTTGTTAATTGAGCTTTTAATTTATCGTTCTTTTAATTATGACTTTATGAGTTTCTGACTCAAAACAATCTAAATCTTGAGTTCTATTCATGTTTTTATGATATTGTAGGTTGTATCAATCTCTTGCCAAGAACTTTCGATACAATATGGCAATTTCCAATTTATGAATTCTAAAAGCATTTTGCCTTTTGTGCTGGTTTACTTATTGTTGTGTCTTTATTTTGGCAAATTTATTTTATTTTTGTCACTCATAAATTTCTTTTTAAGACTTTTCTACTTTTTGTCAGAAATTCCAAATTGGCAATGGGAGAGTAAAATTAAAAATAGCAAGGTTTGGGGGTTTTGGATGTAACAAAAAAAGTTTGAATGAAAAAAAAACTATTCAGAATGTTTTTACAGCACAGCTACGAATCGTGCAGCATATCATCAATTAGAAATGATATAATTAATTTGTTTCTACCAAGCAAATTTTATTGAATCTTCTTGATTTATTTTCAATAAAGAATTTTAAGATATTGGTTCAAAAATTAGTGATAGAAAAAGGAATTCTAAGGATCAAGATTTGAAGTAGCATAATTGAAAACCGAGCCAGAATTTGATCCAACTTTTCCTTTATACTGCTCCTGCCTAAGATTTTGAGCATAGTTAAAGATTTTACAAGTTTTTGTTCAGGTCAACAATTTTTTATGGCCTTATCTTCTGTTTAAACTATTGTAAGACTTTTAAACTGTACTTGACTCTTCCCTTATTGATATTTAGACTTCAATTTTTAAAGCAGTGCTGTCCAAACTGTGTACAACAGCACACTTGTGTGCCATAGAATTTTTTTGAAGATACGTTCTGTGAGGTTTTGGATATGGCTTACTATCAAACTGTGCAGTGGCTCAAAAAGTTTGGACAACACTGAGTTAAAGGGTTGTAGATAGCCTTAATAGCTGTGCCTTAATAATTTTATTTTGGCATAAAACTCACCATCAAGAAATTTATTGAAAATATTAAAAAAATTCTCATTTTTTCCATTTCTTTTTATTGTCCCGTACACTTAAAAATGTCACTTAAAACTGTGTCCAAGAACTTTCACAGCACAAATTCTTTAGTGCCAATTTTTTTTTAAAAACAAATCACCAAAAATTAATTTTAAAAGTCCGAATTTAAAATTCTGGAAATATTTTATTCGCGTTTGTCTCCTTTGAATGCTAAAGCGCCACTAACAGCACTGAAAATTATTGTTTTTCGCGATCAGTGTCGACACTTTACACATTTTTGTGTGAGTCCGCAAAAATATATATCAGAGTGAGCCTCAATTTACGCTCAAAAACTGTTTCTCAGTAAGATGTAGACGTCAGTAGCTGAGTAAGTTTGTGCATAGGAGTATATGCTAGATTATTTTTTTTAAAGAGAATTAATGACTAAGATGAGAATTCAAAATCAGATTCTGATTACTTCCTTTTAAGGGATTGCTGTACATCTTGACTTTCGTACCCAAATCCTGTTCTTAATCTGACTTTGTCTTTAAGAATAAATTCAATTATTTGGTCATGTTGGGTGGATTAATTTGCATGCATAGAATTTAAAACAAAAGCCACTTTTTGCTACTTTCTTTTATTGTGGGTGGAATTTATGACCAGCGTGGTTCTTTTACAGATCAAAAACCTTGCATAAATTTTAATTTGTCAATTCTCTTCAGCATGTCGCTTTATTATCTGTCTGATCTTATTATACTTTTTAAGGAAATTGCTTTTAGAACTCCTTAAACGGCACCAGACATCTAGAAATGCTTGACATCTGAATTTCATTTATTTTATTTAATAAACCGTTACACAAAAAATTCAAAACAGGGCTAATTGCAATGTTTTTGAACAATTTTGAATTTCTTTCGACCGTTAATTTAACTGGATCTTCTCAAGGCTCCTGTTGCATGTGAGCTTGTTAAATTTAATTCTTATATAGCTGCGAACCAAAATTTACATCCTTTATCGATCCAACACACTTTGCTATCGATCAAATTAATTAATAGTCTGATATTCATATAAAAACAATTTTGCTTGTAATAGTTTTGTTTACATTTCATAAACTAGTTTTAAATTCATATTTTGTTCCTTAAAATTTAATTGACTGATGATTCTTATACATTTTCTGCTAATCAGTTGAACGATTAATCAGTGTTTTAATTGTGACATTCAAAAAAATAGAAATAAGCTTCCAAAATGATTGTTGTATTAACTGTTGCACAAATTAAGGAAATGATTAAGAACTTCTTTTACATCCCAACTGGAAGTCTCAAATTAGACGAAATTCTACAAGGAGGAATCAGGTCAACAGCATTACATGAGCTGTCTGGGATGTCAGGAAGTGGAAAGACTCAAATGTGCTTCGAATTAATGTTTAATGCTATTACGTCTACTCAAGGCTTCTTAAATAGTTCATCAGCTGTGTATATCGGCTCTAAAAAGAGCTTCTTTCCTGAAAGAATAAAACAGTTTGTTAATCGACATGCTAAAGAGAAAGGAACAGAATTTGATCCTGACAGTCTTTTGAAAAAGATTATGTTTAAGCAAGTTAATGACTATGAGGAACTAGCATTTGCTGTCCATTTTTTGAATTCATTAATTATTTCCCGAAAGAATCACAGAAATGTAAGTTAGACTGATGATATAAAGCTGCTGTTGCTTGATTGATTTTATTTCTAGATTCGATTGATTATAATCGACACATTTAGTGCTCATTTTAGAGACTTAAAGGGGTACGAGAAGGGTTCTTTGTCATATGAGCTGACGTCAATACTGGGTGGACTAGCACAAGATTTTGTAAGACTTAAAAAGGCATCCTAATCATCCATTTGCTTTAATCTATACTTTCACAGAATATAGCCGTGGTCTTAGCATGTGACATGACACCGGTCCTATACAAAACTGAAGGCACGAATGAGAAGAAATTTATAATGGAAACAGCCCTTGGAGATTTATTTGCAGCACGAATGAGTCAAAGAATTGAGCTTGAGAAGATTGATGATGACGTGATAATTGTTAAAGTATGGAAAAATTGTGCAGGAAGAGGGAATTTAACGACTATCAAGATTGACCAAGAATCTGGAATAATTGACGTGCCAAATACATTAAAGAGAAAATCAGAGGAAGAATTTCATAGAGAAAGGGCTGCAAAGAAATTGATGAAAATTACCAAAAATGAACAGGAACAGATCCTTGCTGAAAATGAAAGGAACTGAAGTTTATTTTGCATAAAACGCTGCCAGCTGCAATAGATCGTGGAAATAGATGACTTACAGATATTGTATTGGAACTGATCCATTTGGTATGCAAGAAGATTTGACTGGACATACTTTGATATCTGGGAGATTTATTTGGAATCTTTGGATTAGATTTTAATCCTCAAGATTAAATTTAAATCGGTGGATTCATTTTAAGCTACTGGATTAATTTTTAATCCGAAAGATTAAAATGAGTAAATTTAAATCTGATTTAAATTTATTTCTGTAGAATCTGTTTGAGTTCATAGAATTAGTTTGACCATATTAAGAGTAAATGACTAAATTTATTGTAGAATAAAATGCCAAGACTGACTTTGAATAAGGATTTGTTCATAAATGACGACCAATTTTAAAGAGTGTGTTTGTGGAACTCAGAAAGTTTATTTGGGCGTAAAAAATACAATTTTAATGACCTCTCTGGTTTAGAAATAGACGTCATTTACAAACGAACCCCAAATTTCTTGATAATTAAAACAAATTTTAAATTTAATCTTTTTTTTATTGATTTTATTTCCGTTTTTTTACTTGAATGCTAATTAATATTTTTTGAGAGATTTTCAATTGGTCTCTTCGTGTAAGTGTTTCATTTACTTAAGAGGTTTTACATTTTCATCATCATTGTATTTTATTATTATTAAATATCATAATATTATAGCTGTATAACGAAACTTTAAATCGCTTAAGGAGAAAAACTGATATTCCTTTATATTTCCTAATTTATCATCTCTTTGCACTTGAAATTAATTGTGAATGTCAATTTTCCACACGCAGGACATCGAATTTTCTACTTTCGTACCTTTTTAAATATTTTTTAAAGCTCATGTGTTCTTCAAGAAAAAAGGAAGGAAATAAAAACTTGCAGAAAGAATAGATCTTAAAAAATAGAAGAGAAATGATAGTTTGAACTTCCAATACGATGTGTATAGACAGACTTAAGCATTAATTAAAAATATAACAAAAATTTTACTTCGTTAACTGTTTTATTATGTCAATAATTATTATTATCTGCCATGTATGTAAGTATATTGCATTATAAATAGTCATTTACCATTCCTCCTGTATAATTCAGCTATGAGAGTATTTCTTTAAATGTCTATTCCTTTTTTATTTCCATTATTTTTTTTTTCAAAAAGTTTTTTTGTTGCTTTTTGCTGCAATTAACATTTGTCGATTTTTGAGGTTGTATTCAAAGCTTTATAAGACTCAAACTTTAGAATTTTAAAATATTTTTTGAAAAAACCTAGAAAAATATTTTGGTTGAATCAAAATCTCGAGAATCTTAAAAAAGCTCAGATATTACAAATCTAAAATTAAAATTAAAGACATCAAAAGATGTTGATCAAAGTTTGAAGACAACTCGATTCAATTATAAGATTATTCACTTGCCTTGTTTCTAGTCAGCATTAGTCTTTATTTAAAACTCTTAAACAAACCTTGAAGGTTTGATCATGAATCTTTAAAATTCATAAACTGATCTTGACTTTGATCAAAAAGTATAAAATCCTTTTTTTTAAGAATCTTTAAAATTTCTCAAACCAAAAATCATTGAAAGATTTACAAATCTTCTTGAAGCTTAGTTCAAAAATCTTTGAAACCTACCCAAAAGCTTAAATTACTCAAAAATCGACAGATATCAAACAATCATTCTACAAAAGTTTTTTATAGCTTTTTTAAAACCACTTTCACAGCATTAAAGTTCAATTAAAAAAAATCTATTCCTATCATATTTGATTCCAATCTTACCACAAGTACCATTTTAAGCATAAATTAATAAAAATAAACAAACAAATTTTTTTTTTTTGGCATATATTGTTGATATAGTTCAATATTATTTAATATTTTTTGAGATAATAAAATTATGGACATAAAAAATTTCACTTTTAAAATAATGAAGTTTGCTTTGAACATTCGTTTCCTACATGAATTCAAAAAACATCGAGGTTCTCTTTTTACTTTATTTATTCATCAAGCACTTGATTAATAATTTATTTTCTTTCTTTTATATCCAGTAATTTATTCATTCATAACGTGTTTCATTCAGTTTAGGTGTATAAATATGCATAATTTAATCATAATCAATATAATAAGTAATGTCATTAATACACTGAGAGTTGAGGATAGAGGGAAAAATTACACACATCGAGGAGTAAAATTGATATTCTTCTTGGACTTGATTGAGGCTTTTTGTTTGATTTAAAAAGATTTTCATATTTTGAACATTATTTTCAGAATAATAGATCAGTTAAATCTGGTACAACAAGTCAAATTAAGCATTCTGAACGAAATTCTCTAGTTTTTTCAGCAAAATAAAAAATCTAGTCAAATTTAGCGCCATTTTTGTTTTGAAAGGTCGATGATTGCTTGCTAAAAGAAGTTACAACTTAGTTGATTATCAGTTTACTTTAAGCTAGCTTCTAACGTTTTTGGTTAATGGGAAACTTTATTTAACCTTGGATGATACAGTTCACCAGAGAAATAATAAGATTTTTTGATGCTTAGACAATTTTAAACTCAAATTCTCTAGAAAAGCTTTTGCTATTAGATTATAGATTTAATAACTGTTTAAATTACTAAAATATGAATGTTTTGGATTTCCAGAAGTTTGGAAGTAATTCAGAGAAATCCAAACTAAATGATCTTTACTATTTGATTTTGTAAACCAATCTAGATAGCTATCTATATTAATAACCGAATATTCTTCCTTTCATTAAATGTTATCCTCAATCTCCACAATCAAACATTGTTAAAACCTCAATGATGTCTCAAGCGACTTATTTCGAATAGATTTTCTTAATTTCTTTAAAAATCTGCAGATTAGAATTGGTTAAATTAATTTCTTTTGTTTAGAATTCAAATTCATTGAAACTTAAGTAGTTCTTATTTAAAATTCACATTAAATTCAATTGACAAAGCAAGATATTGATTCTGAATGAAAACAAAATATTTAACTTTAGTTCATTTTAACAAGTAAACTTGCTTTATATTTTCAAAGTTGAGTTTTTGTTGGAAAAGCTGAATTCTAAAGACTCTCAAGTTCAGAGTTTGAAACGCGATTCTTAGATTGAATCAGAGAATGAAGTTGACTAGGATTTTGTTTAAAGTCTAGGCAACTTTCCATTTAAAATCTTAGTCAACTTAATTCTCTTGATTTTAAAGATGAAAAAGTTCAGGAACAAAACTATCTAAAGATCTTCTATCTTCTATCAAGCTGTGTCAATCTAGAATAGTGCTTAAAATCTGCAGAATAAGAATGAATCACAGAGAGATTAGTACTAGTCACATAATTGAAAGTATTTATACAGAATATTATCCTCATTACAAGAAATCAAGATCTTCTAATTCCAAATCCTAACGTAACAAATTCTATCATCTTGACTACAAATTTTTATCTCACAATATTTATTATTATTTTTTTTGGTTTTTTTAATTCATTTTTTTCCATAAAAAAGAAGATTAAAGAATTTAAAAATGAGACAAAGAAGATTTTTTTTCTCTTAAAAATTCTTTTCTCTTCCATTTAATTTAATTAATAGGCACAAGATTTTTTTTTCAATGTTTTATGTAATGATATAATTTGCATTAAACATGCTGATTTCATCTTATTTTTCATTTTTTTCTGGAAAAATCACATTATTGCACCATTTAATTTACCATCTTTTATAAATAACAATTTATGGATGCGGGAAAACGGCTATGAAGACAATTTGTTTCACTCTTTCTTTACATTTAATATTATTTACTTAATCTTCCGATTTGTTCAAAGTGTGAATTCTTTAATTTAATTCTTAGTGTTCACACTTTCGACTCATTTTCATCCCTTGGAATTTTTTCAATTTTTTTAGATGCGAGATTGTTTTACTATTTTTTTCTCGGAATGATCTGTTGGAATTACAGAAACTCTATTCTTTTGTTGGATGTTCTTTGATTAGTTAACATTTAATTTTTGTGAGAGTACAAATGAGAGATATTTTTAACCTTTTTCGTTCTAATTCTTAGCATCAAATCATTTATTAGCTACACAACTCTCATTTGTAAACTGCTTGTGGTTTGGTTTCGTTGAAAGGTTGATCAGTTTTGGTTTATAGTTCAAGATCATCTAATAATTTCTGTTGAACATTTTTCGAACTATTTTGAATCAACTTCTAGTTACCTAAATTATCCTAGAAATTTCTGTTATTTGACTACAGTCAGAGATCTAATAATACTCGTTCTTGGGATTCATCAGGACTTAACTAGGTGTATATACAGAATTGTCTGTAGCTTTGGCTAGTTTCCAAATTCATACAAGCAGTCAAAGTGTCATCAACATGTAGCTGTCTACATGAAATTACCAAAGCTAGGATATGTTCAGTTAAGGTTTCTCTTCAGATCATAACATTGAATAAAGAGTGTTCTTAGGCTTTCCTGTCTTTATTTTAAATCAAATCGGAAAAACTCTTAATCATTAAATTTCACTTTCGAAAGAATTCTAATTTTGATTATGTTTAAAACATTTAATTAAGGTTCAAAATTAATATTAAAATCTGATCAAAATAATTCAAAAGAGAACTTTCCTTAATCTAAAACCAAACCAAAAACTCTTCAATGAAATCATAACCAAACGAAGATTGTACAGACATTATTTAAATAAACTTGTGTTTTTTATTACGGCAATGTGAGTGTCTTTAAATTGTGTCTTTTGAATAAAGCAAAACAAAATTTGTGATTTTAGCAATGATTTTTCAGGTAACTTTCATTTTATTTTTCATATGAACCTTTAGTATTTTTAATTGGACTTCCTCGACAAGCGTTAATCTTGCAATTTTGATGTTATCAATAAAGACTAATTTTTTGTAAACTTCAATTGATACTTTTATGCCGATAAAATTACGTTTAGAATGATTTTTGATAAACTTAAGGAATAGGTCGAAAGAGATTAGACTGAAACTTTACAGAATATTCTGATTACGTCTCAGATTAGACCAAAATTCTCCAGAAAACATTCAATTTAAAATGATGAAGTCTATTAAGTTTTATTTGAGCTTATTATTTAATAATTGAAATTCTATTTGTTTCAATTAGGGGTAGTCTCTATGTCTTATTTTCCTTGAGTTGTGAAAATTTTTCTGGAAAATCTAGTGTAATCATGTAAGGATTCTCTGAAAAGCTCTGAATCTAATATACAAAGATGATACCTTTATTCCTATACTTTAGTACCTATACGGTACTAGAAATTATCGTCGTTTTTATAAAACCAGCCATAGATTCAGCAAGATCTCAATTATTTCAAAAGCTGTGATTCAGTTTTCTTTGATATTTTTTCTATTTTATATCACCGGTCTAAATCTTTGTTGATTAGCTCTTTGTTTGCTCGACTTACTGATTATCCTTAGTTCTAGTTCTCTATAAGACAATCTCTACTCTGAATTAACTCATTTCATTCTAAACGTAATTTTCAAAAATATTCATCAATTCAAAAATCGATTTCTTTTTTGATGTAGAAAACAAAATGTTCGAATTTATTTGATTTTATCTAGTTTAGGAATTACTTGAAAAATGATATGCTTCTCTTTATTATTGTATATTTATCTAGTTAATTTTATGTGCAATTAAAAGCAGTATAGATAGATTCCTAGATTCTGTTAACGTCATTTTCTAATTATCAAGATTGTTAAAAGGTCTTCAGATGAACTAAATCTTCATCAATCACATTAAATGACAATGGTTGTAAACAAGTAAAACTATTAAGCTGCATAGAAAACGTGGCTCTTTGAAGGCATACAATTGAATAAAATTCTTTTTCATCAAAATTAAATGAACATTTTTTAAGAAAATTAAAGGAATTCTTTCTTAAACAGCATGCATAAAAAATTATATTCGATCATTAGGTCAGTCTTGAAGGTTATGTTCCATTATTGAGTATGAAAAGTGGGGAAATTAATACTAAAGGAACATAAAAGGATTCATGAGCAAATTTAATGAATGAGCAAAAACGAAGGTTCGATAACACTAGCTTAAGGCATTGAACATGCTTGGAAATTGATTTTTGAGTTGATGAATTTTTTTAAGGTTATTTTCTTTATGTTTAATTCGGATTGCTTTATTTATTTTTCAAATGGAGATAGAATGACATGAATTAATCAGAGCTCAGAGAACGCAACAGTTTGTTGGGAATGTTTCCTAAGTTCTACTCGAAATGATCAGAATTGACTAAGTAGCTACTTTATTTAGATCTTAAAGATTAATCTTGTGTTAGCAGATCGGTTACTAGTCTCTAAGTACTTTTATTCATATGAAAAATACTTACAGCTATGCAATCGATATCATCTTGATTAAATAAAGGAGCAAGGTTAGGAACATGACCCAAGAAATCAGTTTTTAGTTGACATTGATTGATTTTGAATTTATGTAATAACTTGTAAGCATTCCCAACAAATAGCTTCCTCTGAAGCTTGCATAAATCTGTAGTTACTGATTCCATTCATGTGCATTCTATTCTCTCATTTATTGGCAAGATTATAAATATTTTTTTTTTAATTTTCAGGACATCAATGAGCAACAGTAGGGAAGTTATGCATTTAGTACTTGATCATTTTTATTATTATTTATTTGATCTTGTACGAGAAGGATTCTTACACAATTCTCACTTATTGATAAGTTCTCTCTTTTTATTTTATTATTTATGGAAACAATATAATTGAATTGAGCAATAAACAGAAGCAGCATGATAAATAGAAATAAAAAACAAAAATAGTTAAATAATAATCAAAATAATGTTTTAAACATACAATTATATCGTTAAGTTATTCACATTTGTTTCATATATTTTTTTGGGCACTGAAGTTTATATATTCTATAAATATCATATTAGTATGAAGTAGTTCTTTCTTCTTCTTCTATTCACAATTATAAGCATGATAATGATTAAAATTTTGGTTAAATTCTTTCACATTAAAGATTGTGATTTGCTAAAATATTAATTTTTAAATTTTAGGAAACGATATGGCAAATAAAAAGATAGTTTTGTGGATTATTGAGACTTAATAATCCACAATAAGATAAAATAAACATAAATTTATGATTTTAAGTAGCAATAAATATAGTAATCGACACTAAAAGTACAAAATAATGTTTAACAAATCGTTGTGCGGTTCAAAATTCTTCAAAAACAAATGAAAATTTTAAAAAACTTTTTTAACTTAATTTATCCACCATAATTGATGACTTTTAAACAACATTGAGCTACGATACACTCCGATGCGCATTATTATTACCTATATATATATAAAATTAATTTTTTTTGATGAATTTTTCCTTTATCTAACATTCTTATCCACTTTTATACATTAATGTCACTTCCATCTACAAAAATTACACTTACACACTGTTTTTCAGCACATACATTAAATTGTCATTATTGTGAAAAGAGTAGGTTGGGGAGTATCATCAACATAAAGCAAAACAATATTCACGTTGCACTTTAACTGTATTTTCATTAATTATTGCTTCACACAATTATTTTGGTAGCACATTTTCTCAAAATATTTAGCAGGGTGGGGGGGGGGGGGGGGGGGGGGTAGTTTTTGACAGTTGCATTTTCAACCGTTAAATTATTCAAAATTTGTAAACTCTATTTTGAGAAAATGCGCTTCCATTAGCCACGACTGGCCATTTCTACATTAGTTTCTTTTTGCTTGCTGATTACCATTTTGTCACTATTTTCATTTTAATATTGTATTTCCTTTTTTTAAAAAAAATCTTTCATCACCTTTTTGCATTTTTATGTATAAAAAACATCAATAATTGTCACAGAAATTAAATATTGTATTTATATTATCATATAAGGCTGGAAATTGTTCGTGTTTCAAAAATGTCTGTGTGGGAAATGTTTTTGGAAACAACTCAAAGCTCACTTGACTTTCGTGTATATGAAAAAAGAGAGGATATGACAAAAATCTCGACCATTCTAAGCTTTTAAATTTTTTTTTTATAATTTACGTATTCAGATTCGGTGACAATACTTTGAGTTGTGTACTGGTTTTTGATCTAGATTGAGCGACACGCTATGGAAATTGTTATTTTCTGATGTTTTCATGTTCAAGCAACTGTCACAGCTACTTCAAGCACTGAGCAACTGTCACAGCAACATGACAATTATGTTTTGCTCTGAGCAACTGTCACATCGAATTTATTTCGTCTTTGAGCTCTAAGCAACTGTCACGACGAAGTGAAGGCAACCTAGAACTGTTAGCAACTGTCACAGCAACATAAGGGTCACCTCTATGTAGGGTTGGGCAAATATTCGAATATATTCGAATATGAACAAAACAATATTCGAATATATTCGAATATATATTCGAATATTAGAAATTCAAAAATGAAAAAATACGTTATTTGTTGATTAGCATTTTTCAACTTGCCTGTAATTTGTAAATGATAAACAATTCATATATGAGAATTAAAGATATTAAATTGTTAAATATACTATAATTAATGATTTTTTGTGTATCCTTTGGCGAAAAGCTTTCAAAAACTTACTGACTGTTAGAAAATTTGAATCTCAAAAGACCGTTAAATGAAAAACTTTTTCTATATGGAAATTCATTGGAACAAATTATGTAATTATACTATAACTAATGTTTTCGTAGTGCAACTTTTAGCGGGAAAATTTTCAAATATTTATAGACCGTTAAAAATTTTTATACTCTTCAAATATTCTTTGATATCAAATTTTTTCAATTGAAAAAATCATGTTAAACAATTACTAAAATAGATCTAATTTTAATGGAAAAGCAATGGAAGTACTTTCTTTAGCCGAAAACGTCGATATTTTAGTTGTAAGTTATTTAATTAATTGTTTAACATTTATTAAAAAAAATCACGATTAATAACGGTTATTTTTTGAATTATGTATATTCGAATATATTCGAATACGATTCTGCCCAACCCTACCTCTATGTCTCTGTGACATCTTGACAATGTCGTTGCAATAACGATGTGCCGCTCATTTATGTTACAAGGATGCACATATCGTTCCTTTACAAGATAAACATCTAATTTTGCCTTATAAAATTGTTCATTGTCATTAAATTGCATCCATTTGTTTGCTGCTTATCCAATTTTTAATATATCTTTAATTTACAAAATTAAGTGAAACTTAATTTGAAACTTTTGGACGAAGAATTGAAACAAAAAAAATTCGTTTTCCTACGAAATGTGATGAATGTGTGAATTGTCACAGGAAGACCCGTTTTTTATGCTAAAAAACATCACCGCATTTTGAATTTTTCCTACTTTTTTTTTTAATAAGTTAATCCCTTCATATTTTTTATAAAAATTGATCACGTCTCATTCGAAAAGAAGAAGAAAATCATAAAATTAATAATTTATCAAATGTGTAGTTTTTATATTTAATCGCTAAATTATTATTTGCACTCGCTGCATCAAAAATACAAACTTTTTTATTTATTTATCTGTGATATGAATAATTTTATGCTATGTAAATTGTAGGTTGTATTTAGAGCAAGGAAGAAAATAATGTGAGAGTAGCAGTTATTATTATTGATAGAGGACTTTTTTCTTTTCTTTTTTTGGCGCATTTCTTTATCTACTTCTGGTTGTGTCTAGTATTTTTTTTTTGTGTTTTTGCTTCAGTATAACAAAATAGAAATATGAATATGTGTTGTGGGTATGTGTGTGTATCTTGTGTACTGCATGCGTGAATTCTCTTTTATTTTATTTTTTTTATTCAGTCGTTATTACTCTGATTTTTTTTAAATTTAAAAATATATTTTTAAAATTAAAAAAAAGTTCCAATTTTTTTTCATCTAATAATTTACTTTTTTTATGCAGATCCATTTTCTAATGGCACAACAGTAGTTGGTGAAAGGTTTGTGATAGCTTCCTCTGGTGATTGTGCTAATTTCTTTATAATGTCGGGCGAATCGATAAACTCATCTGAAGTTAACGTTTTTTCACTATAAAAATTAAAATGTGATACTTTGATTAGCTATGATTCACTTGCGGTTGCTATATAAAATGATAAATCTATGACTAAAGTCCTAAGGCTAGAAAATTTTAAACTTTTTCAACAGTTTTTTGATATTTAAAAGTTAACGGACTTTTCACATTTGAATTTTTTCATTCAGTTTAAAAAGTTGAACTGAAATGAAATGAACTCAGATTTTACTGAACGACTTTCCTTTTTTGCAAACATTCTACAGTTTGCACTTTAATTAAAAACTTTTCTTATGACAATAACAAATCGTGTTCATTAAAAACAGCTCAAAGCACATGAAACTTCCCAAACAATCATTCACACCGTTTTTTAATATCATCCAGTCATTCATCATAAAATGAAACTTTAGCACGTATTTCCATTATTATCAAGGCACAACAGTTGTTTGTTTAGGATCTCACTACAAATAGAATACTCACTCGTCGGATTCACAGAAGATTTCACTTTCTTTCACCTTCTCAATACCATTCGTTTTACTATGCTCCTCTTCATCCATTGACGACGGAAGTGCACAGTCCACAAAATGATCTCCTGCATTGCTGTTGGTTTCTTCTTCTGAATTGCCTTTACTTGAGCTATTGAATAGAGAAATTATTAGTTAAAGTTTTAACGGTTATATAATTTTTGAATTTAAGCGGTCTCAAAAATTTCAAAATTCAGCTCCCAAAATATTTTGAAAACGAGCGTCCAAAAACTATAATGCAATGACTTAAGACAGACGTACAAGTTTTTGGCAAAATGACAATCAAAAGTTTATTCACCTTTCATCAGCTGACGCAAAATCGTCGTCATCATCCTCTGGAATTTCCGTATTCTCATTGACAAGCTTTCTGTCCGTATCGTCAGTAAAGCTGTTCATTTCATTCGAATCGTCACGCAATGAATAAAATTCTTCATCCTCAAGCTCCTCAATTGCTGCTGAAATTGACTTCATGCTTGTTAAATCGGAATCGACTGGATTTGGACCGAGTTGGAATTCATGCCTCTCTTCTGGCATCTCTAAAAAGTCAGGCATAGATGCAGTTGTTGTTTCGGGTGGTGGAAGCGATGATATTTCAATAACTTGAGTCGTTGCCACAAAACATTGTTGCTCTTCTATCTGTTGCTGTTCTTTGTCATCATTTGGTCCTGCTTCATAACTTTCTTCCGTGCCTAGACGCATTTGAGGCATAGATTCAACTCCAATTGGCGCCATATTAGCAAAATGTGAATCAAAGTCAGCAAAATTATCTGGCGATGAATTAAAATTTGCCCAATTATCATTATTGCTATTTATATCATTCATGTCATTATCATTAACATTAACGTGATGATTAATAAAATGGTGCGGATGGAACGGATTATTATACGAAGGAGTGTTAGTAGCCGTAAAAGGATAGTTAGTACATTGAGATGCATAAAAGTTCATAAGGAAATCATTTGATTGACCATAAATGCCATTATGGTAGCCGTACATCAGCTGATTGCTACTTATATTATTATTACCAATTATTGCGTCGAAACCACTTGTGGATGTGTCCGCAAAGGGATCATTTGTAAACGGATCATTATGAAGGTCACTGTCTTTATTATTATCATCTTGTTCCTCAAATGGCGATGACTTAAGCAACGCACTGTTGAAGAATTGATGTTGATCCCAATTGTCGAAATTCGTGTGGAATGACATTGCCGAGGTATTTTGATTACAGGCCTGCAAATAAAATATTAAACGGTCATTGAAAATTTGAAAAATAACGGTTAAATGTTTTTTGAATTTAAACTGCCAAAATAAATTTGAAAACATTCGCTCGCTTACCTCCTCAAACATTTTGTGGCGTGATTCCAGCAAATCATCATCGTCGTTATAGTCCGTGTTAAAGTCATTACCATTTACTGCACTGCTGTAAGGATATGAATAAAACATTGAATAATAATTAAAAACTTAGTGACTCAAAAGCATAGCTAGGAAAAGTATAGAGCTAGTCGAGTTTAGCTTACTGCATTGAGGGGATAAAGTTGTAAGAGTAGTCTTCTGTGTCGATCTCTGTATCATCGGGAATGGACGGAAACCCAGTGAGACCACTTTGGCCATATTCTTGACGTTCGCTAGGATCACAGTCAGCCAAAAAGCGTTTTTGTACTTGTAACTCGTTCTCATTTGATTGCATTATTTTAGTCCACACGTCAATTGCTGATATTGGCTCGCCGCTGCCTAATGTTGCACATGTTAAACTGCTTTCTAGTAAGGCACGAAAGTCATCTGACGCTGATTCCGTTGAACTAATGGCACTGAGAATTTCTATTAAATGTCCCATATATCCTAATCTACGTCCTCCTTTCTGCTGACTTAAAGCATTCTCATTCCAACAGTCTATTAATCGATCAGCAAGTTTACAATCAACAATAATCTGCGAATGAATTGTTATAAAATGTACTGTGACTTATTATATTATTATGGGCGAAGGATACTTACATGCTTTTGTAAGGCAGAAATCACTAGCTGTGTGTTGTTTGGTATTGTATCAAATGCTTGTACACCATAAACAAAGCATCTTCTCACATAATTATGCAAGAAATTATTCCAACAATATTGCTTAAACAAATTGAGCAACTCAGTAAAGAAATTTGTCTTACAGATTCTAAAAAGGAGACACGAGACATTGTCAATAACATAATAGACATGATCATTAATGCTGTACTTACTCTTCAATTATTAATGAATTTTCCGTTTCTAGTAATACTGTGAATAAATTACATAGCTGGAGTCTAACATTACCTAAAGTAGATGCCATTGGTTTTTCTACTCCTTCCAATGGGGTTTTCTGTCGAATAGAATCATTGATTAAAAGATAATTTATGGAATTGAGGGAACAGAAAATTTTGAATAAAATAACGGTTAATAAATATTCAAAATTTAACGGTTTTAAGAAATTTGATTTGTTCAAAAAAAAATTCAAAATTGTCAAAATAACGGTTTTTAAGTGACTTACTAATGGTGGATTTAAAAGAAGCTCAAAAAGTTGATGAATACGAGGCTGAATAATGCTCATGAGCGAATTAACAACTTCGTCGTGATGCTCTTTCTCGGCATCGATGATTTGTTGCAAGGCGGTTTGTGAGACAGGTTCCTGAATAATTGAATTCTCCAATAAACATAATAGCACCTGAAGACCTGACAAAATTCCACTTTCCGTACTTGTTGCACTTAGTATAGCATCAATGAGTCGCGTTGTAGTCTGTGAATTTTCCAATCGATGAAGTAATGGATTTGGTAAGCTCTTTCGGTCTTCTGTATCATTTTGACGATTACATCGGCCAGTCTTTATAAGTTCAGTAAGGAATTGTGCAACAATTACGTGCTTTTCATTCTCATTTGGCATGTGAAGTACATCAATCATCTTCTCAATTAATCCACGCTCATTAATCCATTCGAGAAATGAACTTTTCATTCTTGGATCTTCTATATCGTTTAACATCGTCAAGAGTAAATCCATAACAACAGGCGTTGAAAAGTGATGCACCATAACGTCAAGGAAGTTATCCTTTGTCTTTATAAATTCCAATACGTAAAGACATATAGTCTGATACAAAAACCAGTCTTGATCCATTTTTTTTACTATAAACATACCAAATGTTTTACATATGAATGATGCCAGGAGTGGATTGAGCTGAGTTTTTTGTTCAAAAAAGCCATAGAGCTTATTTAATAAATTATGGTCTTCAGCTATTCGTTGTTTTAGTGACGGAATATCGCAGGTAAGAATTTCACATGCTAAATTTGGATGTAGGAAGCGTTGTTTCTCATCTAAATTACTTGGTGGCACTATTGTGATGAGCGTGACAAGCTCGTCCACAACTTCCGGACGATTGAGGCTGAAATAAAAGACACTGGATTAGCTTTTTTGATTCTAATAAGATTCACGGGCGATTCACTCACAACTTGACTATTTTTTGATTCTGTGACTTGCATTCTTGTAAAAGTTCAACTTCATCTAGTAATTCTTTGAGGCTGCAATCGTCTTTGCTGAGTAAAGCATCTATATTTGCTGAATTTGTATATGTTGTATCCCAGAACATCGTGCTTTTATGAATTCTTTGTTGTCAAATACTTCACTGTAACGGTATCAAAGAGATAAAAGCTGTAAATTATAAACCAGATGCTCTGCTGCTTAGTTCTGCATGAATTTTTCACTTCTTTTTTTCTTTATGATCCAATGAATTTTATTTTGTCAATATTCTCAATGTTATCTAAAATTTATCACACTGTTCATGTAAAGCTATAATTAAATATCCTTTTTATACTATTCTAGATAGTTTTCATGCTCAAATGACTGTAAAAACTTTAATTATGTATTCTTTGAAAAGATGAAAAAACTTTGTCGAAATGATTTTTGATTAAAAAAATTAAACGATGAGAAATCCACACGAACTAGATGTGATTAATGCAATATATCACCTTTATAATCACAGTGTCATTTAATTAAACACGATTTGATGATGAGAAATAGCAAAAAATCGGAGAAATCTATTTTTGACTGATATTTTACTAACACTTTTGCTTTTATAGTTCTACCAGTTATGTCAGTTTTTTGAATTTTTTTCAGTCGTTAATTTTAAGATTTTCTTCGGTTTGTTATTATTGTTAATTTTGCTCTATTTGCGTGACTGTTTTAATTAAATGTTTATTTTGTAAGGAAGAACTTAAAAGTACCAACAGTTCAATGTAAAATTCATTCAAGAAACCAAATCACTGAGGAAGTTACTAGGATTTTTGTAGTATATTTCCAAAATATTAGTATGACTAATCCTTGTTGGATCGATTTTAATGGCTTTCTAATAGATCTAAAGCTATGTTTTGTATACCAAAATGTAGGTAACCACAAGTTTCGTAATCTGGAAAAGTTTATTAATATGGTTTTGTGGTAAGTTTGAAAGGAATTAATCAAAGTACTTAAAAATTAATCATCTCTATGTCACAGTCGCTTGGTCAATGTAGCGCAACACACAAAACACTAGTTGTTATCACTAAACATGCCATGCGAACATGCTCCTTTTCCAGAAGCTACTATATACCAAAAATCATAATGTAGATAGCAATTTCATGGGTTTATTTTCAATTATTACTTCCTTTTGTGATTTTGTGACAATTTAAGTTGGAGAATATTTGATGACAAGAGGGGAGGTAATGAGATTCTTGAAAAGCTATATTTAAATTGACATCAATTAGTGAACAACCCCTGAAAATCATCACAAAGACCTGTAACTGCATACAACATCATAACTGAGCTGAAACAATTTTTAAAAATTCAAACAGTTTAAATTTCTTAATATCGTTTCATTTATTTTGTACAATATATGGATGCTGTCAAGAATGTAACATGTGTCAAGAATTAATTTTTTTCAAGGAAAATTAAAGAATGATTCGTATTGAATTTCACATGATATATGTGTGTTAAATGACATTAAATACATAAAATGACCTTAGGCCTATATTATTTCTACTTTTATAAAAAAAATTATGAAGTCTTAAATTTCTAGAATACAAAAGATTATATTATTAAATAGGATAGGCATTAAAGTTTTTCTTGGAAAGCACGTTGCATCTCTTCAGCAGACATCATACCCTGTGATTTTTGTGTCTCTTGTCGACAATTTTTTGTCAAGTCGAGGTCGTAGTCACGTGGTGGTTCTCGTGGTATGAGACTCTTCAGCGTACTTGAGCCATTACTGCTGCTGTATTTTGGTCTTGGAATACGAATTTGTTTCACCTATTCAATGAAAATAGCAAAAAAGTGTGAAAAATTTTCCGGCATTTTGAAATTTTAATTTAATCAAATTATTCCTTTAAACAATTGAATTACTGCACAATTTTAATAGAAATTTCTTTGCTCACAAATATTCTACCAAACCAAATCATCCAAGCATCATATAAGAGTTAAATTAACTTAAACTAGTGGAACAAACTTTCGATATGGAAAACGTAAACAAACAATTTCAATGCACAAAAAGAATTAAGGAAAACGATCTACATTAATTGAAATTAAGCATTAAACAATTTGTGTTTCAATTGGAGTTACACAATTCTATGTAATGCAAAAAAGAAAAGCGCTTAATTCGTACGAATAACACAATATAAATGAATTTCGTTGCAGTATACGACTACTTACATCAGTTAACCAAGCATCCATTTTTATGTACTTTACTTGATTACTTTCTTGCTTGCTCACACCGTGTCAACTGCCAACATGAAAGAAATAAAATAAAAAATTATGTATTTGTAAGAATTGAAACAGTTTTGTTCAATACAAAATGCCTTTTCATTGTTTTACAACAGCATGTGCACAGTATGAGAGAAGAAAACATATTGATCAGGGTTGAAGACTGTGGATCAAGTAGTAATTGACTCAGAGAATGTTGGAGTCATACTTGCACCTATTCATGAGGAGCTTTGCCTATTCCTACAGTTGCAATCTGTCAAAATCCATTAAGTCATCAACCTGCTATAAACCTCATTATATTTCTCACATATGAGTGACTGACTGAGTACAAAGCTCATTTCTGACTGTGTTTTTAATTTTTTCGGATGGAGGAAGACAGACATAAAGCAATGTTGTCGATAATTAGCCGCTTATTTGTATCGGGTACATTACACACGATACTGCTAATGATAAACATTATCGGAATATGGGCCACAAAAAAAAAGTAAGAATAGGTACCGTTAGCTTATGATGTATATTATTCATTCCCATTTGTTGATTTTTTCAATTTTTTTTCTACAATTCTCTATTTCTTATAAAAATCTATTGTGAATCAATAACACACATATATCTTGCGTAAAGCGGATCAATAAATTTATTTAGAGATGAATGGACTAAATATTATTATTATTGAAATTCGTTTCGCACTATTTACAATGGGGCATTTTTCTCAGATAACAACATAATATGCAGCACAATAGCATTTACTCAAATGAAATCAGAACTAATTTCATTATGTTAAAATTAAAGAAGAAACCTTGAATGGTTCCGAATATCATACGAATGACAAATTGACTTGCTGTATTTTCTTCGGGGCTATTGACTTGTCTGTATCATGGGAACGTAACTTGATTTCCTTGATTACGAGACGATCAATAAAATTAATTACCCAATGTCCACTCGGCATCCTGTTTAATTAACAGGATGTACTTAATAAGAATTTTCTCAGCAGATTCTTGATCTCAGTTTCTTCTTCGTGATCATCTAAATCTTTCTGTATAGAAACTGTAGATTATTGTTGTTAAGTTATTCTAACATGAAGGTGGAAATGTATGTAAAGCAGTAAACCGCAAAAATTAGCTCTTGAAAGATATAACATGTAATTAACATGAGCGGGCTTAAAGATCCGCAAAAAGCAAGCACGAGTAAGAAATTATGAAATCGAGGTTCGGTAATTTCACATAGGCTTTGCTTTCGTCATTTACATCTTGATGAAAATAATTTCATCTCGACTTTTTAAGGCAGCTGTTGGCTGAAGGAAAGTGGTAAGATCACTTTGGGTTTGTTTACTGGATGTTTTTACATGATTATTTTAATTTTACATAATTTTAGGTGTTGAGCTTTTTCGCAATTTGTTTTCAACGATTTAGAAGTAATGAATTTTACTAATAGCTTGATTGGTTGAGAGTTAATCAACAATTTGCGTACATTTTAATGAGTGTAAGGTTTTTGTTTAAAGAAGAAAAAAATCAGTTCAGTAATCTGCAGTTCAATTCAATTTAGTTCAGTTCATGTCAGTTTGGTTCAATTCTTTTCAGTTCAGTTTATGTCAGTTTAGTTCAATTCTTTTCAGTTCAGTTTATGTCAGTATGGTTCAATTTTTGTCAGTTCAGTTCATGTCAGTTTGGTTCAATTTTTGTCAGTTCAGTTCATACTTGTCAGTTCAATTCATGTCCGTTTAGTAAAATTCTTGCCAGTTCAGTTAATGTCAATTCATGTCAGCTTGGTTCAATTCTTTTCAGTTCAGTTCATTTCAGTTCATTTTAGTTTAGTTTAATTCTTTTCCGTTCAGTTTATGTTATTTTGGTTCAATTTTTGCTAGTTCAGTTCATGTCAGTTTGATTCAATTTTATTAGTTCAGTTCATGTCAGTTTAGTTCATGCTTGTCAGTTCGGTTACTGTCAGTTTAGTTCAATTCTTGTCAGTTCAGTTCATGTCAATTTAGTTCAATTCTTGTCAGTTCAGTTAATGTCAGTTTAGTTCAATTCTTGTCAGTTCAGTTCATGTCTGTTCAGTTCAATTCTTGTGAGTTCAGTTCATGTTAGATTAAATTCAAATCTTTAAAAACCGCTGAATATGATCATTTTATATGCGCGTTGATCATCAAAGCCTCAGTTACACCTTAACACTCTTCTCGTATGTGCTTCAAAAAAGAAGACATCAAGTAGACAGTTGCTCGTCAAATAATCCATTAAAAATATGTAGAATGTAAAGTCACTTTTTCTTCGATAAATCGCACAAAGACCCACATTTTATATAAGTTCTTGAAGTTTCTTCTTTTTGAGCTTCGTCAAATTGAGATATTTCTTATCGTTCCTTCTTCCTTCATTTCTTCACGTCTTGACTTTAAATTGGGATCAGCGATTTTTGTTTCTTTCATTATATTTTTTTATTACTCGACTTATTGTGGGATTGCCCACGCGCGGTATCAACCAAAAGAAAGTTCATGTAGTACATGTTATAATGTATTATGTACGATGTAAAAAAATGGCAACAAATAATAATAATAAGCATCAGGAGTTAAAGCTGATTATCATCAACTCGATTTTTTCCTCCAATTGCTAGTTTTCATATTCACCAGACGGAATTAAATCGAATAATTATTATTTTTGTTATTTCTTATGTAAATGCATGCAGCAAGTACTAAAAGTATGTGTACATACATATGCCACGGATTCAAGAAATCGAGCAATGAAAACACATTAAATCAATCCTTAAATCTACTTATTAAAATTAATGTTATATTTCCGCATTAACTGCCTTTGCAATTAACGTTGTAAGCAACTCCCAAAGAGTTTTCTTTAACATTTTTATGCCATCATTTAGGTGAACAATAAATCAAATTTAACAAATGACGACAAATCGTGGGTATCAAGCCCGAGGTATGAATGAGCAAGTCCATTAAGTTTCAACTGAACCGAGCGCTGCTTTCTTACGACTTTATCAAATGAGGTTCTTCTAAAAGCTAAGTTAAGCTGAGCTGAGCTGCAAGCTCTTTAATGGGTCAAGTTGTGTTATGCTGTTTATTTGGTTGAGCTGAGTTTAGTTCTTTTAGGGTTGAGTTGAGCAAAGGGACGAATTAAACCGAAGGTTTCACAAGAATCGAGATCTTCAAAGAGTCGAGCCGAGCGGGAATCTATCGAAAGTTGAGCTGAGCTAGTTTAAGAGTCGTACTGAGCTCGGTCAAGGGTCGTACTGTACAAAACTACTTCGAAAGCCGACCTGATCAAGACTTTTTTGATATTGATAGCTATTAATAGCTTTGAATGAGGCGCGTAGCCAGGAGGGTCTTGTCCCCCTCTTAAGTGTTTTAGGCTGTGCTCTCGATGCGGTTCAAAACGTTTAAGAAAGGGGACAAGACCCTCCTGGCCACGCGCCTGCTTAGTCATGAACATCTCGGGACAGACGCTCAACTCATTAATGATAAATCAATGTATCTCAAGGCACTACTTCCTCTCTCGTTTCTTTTACTCTCAACACAGCAACAAAAAAAAAGAGAATTTGTGTCATATCAAGAATATGATCTAAGTAGATGCATCTATTCATAATAACTCGTTTTATAGCATCAACATCATCTCGCTTTTTTAAATGGAAATAAATAATAAAAGTAAATGCAGTAAAGAGACACAAGTAAAGCCACCAACATTTTGTGTTATTTGAACGAAAAAGAATAAATCAATAAGAAAGCATATTGGGAAGAGTTACAAAACGAAGAAGAAAGAAATAAAGGAAGTATCAACAGTAATAAAAGAGAAAAAGAAAAAGTTTGAACAGAAAAAAAAGGTAAAGGCGTTGTCGAAATGAGGTCATTAAGATTTCTTGATGATCACGCCGAGAATTTTTTGTTCTTTTTCAGATAAAATTTTTGCCTATTTTTCTCGCACGTCGTGGCATATTGATCGATAATGAATGAACATGCGACTGGAAGGGGTCTTCTTTGCTGACTCACGAATTTATTGCTTCTTCTTGTTTTTTTTTTTGTCTTCGTTTGATTTGCTTTTTGTTCTGGCATTTGTTACTGCCGCTGGCGATCGCCTTGTACATTTTACGATCACATTTCCCATCATCAATGTTTTCATTCATCGATATAAGTAGTGGATTTGTGTTTGATTCAGTCAGGTTCATTATTTGTGAGATTTGAAATAAATTGAAGGGGGTCCTCGGTTTGAATAAACGAGATTTTGGTTCGAATTGTTCTAAAAGTAATCAAAACTGAGAAAAATTGCACTTGCAAGCCGTGATTCTATATAATCTGTCATCTTGCTAAGCACTAGTCCAGTGTTGTCCAAACTTTGTACCGCGGCTCACTGGTGTGCCTGAGAAAATATTTGGAAATGATGCGAGCCGAATGCTGTGTGCGACTTTGGTCACAGGTTACCCTTCAAGTGTGCCGTGGCCCAAAATTGGACAACACTGCACTAAAGGATGGACTAAACCATTGAAAGCTTTGATTCAAACCTCTCCAAAATGTAATTTTTGAAACCCCAAAAATCAAATAATTTAAAGCAGGAAAGCAGAATGGGAAATGATAATGATGATGATGTTGATTGCAAAGAGAATTAAAGTTATTGACACATCAATATTGAGAAATTTTTATAGACGGTTCAATAAAAAAGATGAAAAATGAATAGAATTCAGGAAGATAAAAATCTTGTGAAATTGCGAATATAATAATTATAAATCTGACGTAAATATGATGAATAATGACATGAAAATGGACAACACAGGTTTGGTGAATGATTTGGAGTTTATATGTAGAGTGTAAGCTATAAAGAATATAGCGAATTCCCGGGAAACAAATGACTGTTATTAAGTTGATTAAAGAAAATTGGAGAACAGCTTTAGAACATTTTATTGAATTAGTAAGCTTGTTAAGTTCTTGAGAAAATTAATCAGGCAGATTAAATTAATGAAATAAGCGAGTTACTATCAAATTACTTAGAACCAAAAATGTTTGAATTGATTTTTAATGAATCATAAGTGATGAAGAATGCAGACTTAATTCTGAGGCTTATTCGCTTGTTTTAGAAATCGCTTTGAATAGAACTTTATGCGTTTTTGGATATAAGTGGCTCTAGAGTGTATTTAGAACCAAGCTGCAGGCACCTGCCAAGCCAATATTTAGTTCAAATAGAATAATTCGAATAAATCGACAAACAATTAAAATCAAAATTTTAATTCCCATTTTCATCAGTAAATTGTTGGTTTTTAATATGGAAAAAGAAGGGAAAGAGAGCAATTACCAATAATGACAATAGTTTTAAAATTGTTAAGTCGTGATTTCTAAATTAATTAATTAATTATTTCATTGATTACTTTACATTGTTCCCATGCTTAATTCCATTGTGGCAACGCTAAGCTCTCTTATTTTTCAAAAAGTTTCCTGATGCCATATGAAGCTATATACGAAATAGAAAATGAAAAACGAGTCACAAAAATGAGGAAATATTCGTAGAGTCATGGGATCTTTCTTTTAACCATCATTGTCTACACTTATTTCTCTTTCCTGCTCAATTCAATAAGTGAGACTTTTTTTTTCATTTCGAATTGCAATTAAAAACCATTAAGTTATGTCTTTATTTTTTGTCGACTTACACTTACTGTGTTTACACAAACAATTTAAGATTCCCACATGTGTGATCTTATTGTATATTTAAAAGCTTAATTTAAATGATACGTTTGCGATTGCTAACCATAACGGGTGTTTAGTAAGTGTCTTATATTTTCGTGAATACTTATTGTCATTAAAAATATTCAATTTAGCAGCTCCATGTGTGAAATTAAGTTTACATTTTAATGGTCACAGAGAATAGAAGCCTCTCAAGTGCTTTAGCACATTCTGATGGCTTTTTACTTAAAAGGTGTTATTGTTCTCATTTTTTAACTGTTCAATTAATTTAATAACGAATGTCACGACAAGGATTTATTAAGGAAATGGAATTAGTGACGATTAACTGTGTATGCTATTTGACTAGGTTTGTGTTGATTTTAAAGTTGAGATTTAAATAGTTTTTGAAAATGAGAGCGAAACTTCCTGAAATTCATGAGTTTTGACTTTAAAATGTTGCAAACCAATTAACAGTCAGTTTTATTCTTGGAACTTAGATATTTATAGTCTGGATATCAATTCAAAGATCTGATCCCAAAGACTATGGATAGTTGATGAAAATTCGAGTTCGAGTTCGAACAAGTTTGTTTACAATTTATGAGTAAATTTTTCAATTGCAATTTTTTCATTTATTTGAAGCATAATTTAAGCTATGACAGTTGCAAATCATTTATTATCACTGAATAATTACAGCAACATGCTTAAACAGAACCAAAAATGACTTAAAATTGAAAATGTTGAGAATTTATGAAAACATTCATTATCGAACTTTCGTAAACAACATCGAAAAAAATACGGGAAAATTCAAAATATTTATATTTTAACTGACAGCGTGCTATCCATAGTCCTTGGATCTGATCTAAACATTTTATGTCTCAAAATCAATGAATCAATCGTTATCATGTATAAACTGGTATAAACAAAAGTTGCTACAAGTCAAGACGTTTCCAAAAATGTATATAACCTTAAAAAAAAAGAAATGAAGTCATTTTTGAAAAAAAGTTGAAAAAAGAATTACAAAAAATATGATCGACACTAGACAAAACATCGATTATCAATTATATCGATTATGAACCTCAAATTCAGATTCAATCAATTGAATCGAACACATGATTAAATGATATCATCGATGTTGCTTAATTTGATAATCCAGCATTAAGCTAGTCATCTATCAACCAAACTATTCCATCATATTCCAATTATATCATTGACTTAATGAAACTATTGCGAAAAATCAATTTTGAGTAAATTGACAGACTTAATTCGAACCTTGAAGCTTCAAAAATTTGAATAAGATGAGAAAAAGAGAGTTTCATAACTATTTCAGTCCATCATCTTAATCACACTCATCAATAATTTATAGTTTCAATTTCTAGCACTCATTACATAAAAAAATATAAGAGCAAAATTTAAATCATAAAGGAACGACAAATAAGGAATGATGAGATGCCCACGATTTGCAATTATTGCTAAATTAATTAATTCATGAACAACTTGAGCAATAAAGTAGAAGAAAAAGCATCGAAAAAAAAAACCGCAATAATCGGTAAAGAGGAAAAAAATGGCCAGGTTTAATTGAAAACTATTGGCATCGAGTGTACAATGGATATACAAATGAATGAGTTAGTCTTTATTTTTGACCCTGATTTTTCTTTGCAAGCGATTAGATTGCTAATTTTAATTTTTTTTTGTTGTTTAAAAGTTAAGACCACGATTTTGAAATAGTCGAGTTGGTCGATCGAAAACAATAGATGAAGTAGAAACTTGCTATGCACATTTTTCCTGCTGCTATCCTCGTCATTTTCTTCATTGACATAATTTGTATATTTTTCAATAGGGATCTGGTTCCTTTTTTCTCAGTATTCTGTTGGCAGCAGTGGTTTTTTTGATTTATTATTACAATTTCGAAGTCTGACGTGAACGGTTGTGGGGAGTGAGAGGTGAGGATATTTGTAGCTACTGAGTATTCTTTCCTTTACATTAGTTTTCCATTTATGAATGAGAAACGGGTCGTTTATAGGCACACATTCAGAATTTTTGTGCAGTCACAACAAATTTCTTGTAGAACAGCGAGCAGTAGAGCAAAAATTGGGTGATATTTGTGTGCCATGAATCACAACAGCTCGCACATTTATTGACATCGACGGGAATTTATTATCAGGTCGCTTGTGTTCGTGAGCGATTCTCTTTTTTTTTTCGTCCATGAATAATGTTTTATTCAGCAGTGTGTTTTTCTGCACTTTAGGACATTTCGTTATGGAAGTCAATATTTTATTTTAATTACGGTCTCTCTCATCTTATTATATATAATAGCATTAAGCATTTTTAAGGTCAACCAGAAACTTTTTTTTTCTCTTTCAGTTCTTCAGTATTTTTTTTATGTTCTGCATAAAATCATTGCTGTTTTTATTGCAGTTTGGAACATAATGTTTTCTATTCACTTTGACTGAGTGGCTAACTTGTTGATTGAATGATTCGTTTCTTTGGTGAGATAAATATACAGTAATGGCTTTTTGAGGTTACAAAAATATTGTCACTGTGCTAGATTTTGTAAGCTTGATTTTCAATTCAATTTTTTTTGAATCTTGATAATCTCGGTTCATTTTCAATTTGTTTCTTATTTTGCACTTAAGATTATTCGAAGAAAGTTTATTTAAGAAGTTCGATTAACTCATCACAAAAAAAATTCTACAGGGTATGAAACTATGTAATTTTCAAATTTTAACACCCCTTGAAAATTAAAATTTGAATTTTAAAAACGCGTTAAAAATTAAATCACAATTTTAAAACTCGATTAAAGCTAATTGCACTAATATTACTCTACAATTTATCAATCAATCAATCTACTAACTGGATCAAGGAAAATGCACTCCATTCGTCCACTAAACGACTTTTATGCTAGTTTTTTTTATTTCATCCATGGTCTACCCGCTTGTTGTTGTCTCGTATGCGAATATTAAAATCGTACCAAGAAAAGGAACGATGGCATTAATAGTCATTCGTCTTTGTTAACGTTTTAGCGCAGTTACTGACAATCTTTTGTTAAGAATCTTTTAATTAAGTCTGTGAGTGACTTAATTGCACCATTGAATGGCAGAATCATGAGAATCATCCCAACAGCAGAAATTAATTGTGCTCAACACTGTCAGATGCTGAGTCTCATCAATCTTCATTTTCATTCTTGATACTTAAAAGTGAAAACTCTTTGTTTTTTTTTGCATACACGACATATTGAAAGGGAAAAAAATGAGGCATGAAATTATAATCTTCTCTCTGTCTATAACTTTTTTTATGCTGATCTTTCACATGTTAATAATTTAAAATTCACAGAATAAGAACTTTTTATGAATCACTCACTTGTGTCTACTTTTTTTTTATATAATTTTCACAGACAGCACAATGCCGTTTATTAAAGTATGGAACTTCCTTTAATTTCCAATTCAACGAACTGCTTCAGACGATCGCAACAAAACGACTAAACAACAATCTTTTTGATATTTTTTCTTTTTCATTTCTTTTCGTTTTTTTTTTAAACTCGCTCAAATGACTTGCTGTAAGTTATAAAGTATAAAAGCAGCAGTAGCAACTCGCGTGTGAGAAAAAGAGAATAAAAAAGTTAAGTTGTGATACAGTTTTGGTTGGCTGTGTGTCATCTTAATGGATTTATATTGAAATTATTGATTTGAATGAGCTAAAGTGTCTCGGACTTTACTATAACCTCAAACCTGATTTGGAGTGAAGTTGTCAGGGAAGTCCTTATTAGTTAAAATTCTTATTATTTACAAAATGATCTGCAAGGTACATTACACTCCATGGTGTCTTAAAAAAGAAAATTTTGAATGACATTTTGATAAATAGAGTTGAGATTTAAGTAGGAATCGAACCCACACCCTGCCGAAGGTTATGAATATCTGGATTATTTCTTAATCATTCAATCACAAACGGGCCTTAAATCTTTCTGATCGGTTCGTCTAAATGCAAATCAATACCCAAGATACTCCTCTGCTTCTAAACTTAGCTGATGACATCAAAATTTCTTCCTGGAACAAATAAGACTTTAAAATTGAGTGACACAGCTCCTAAAAATCAAACTACGAAAGAATCCATATATGATCGCTATTTCAAACCAAATCTGCAGCTTAGACCTTAAATTACCATCAATCCTAACGAGCCATCTCCACTAGCGCAGAAATAAGAACAAAAAACTCTGTACACAACATCTACACAAGATTAAAATGAGAGTAGTATAAAGTAAAGAACCAAAAACAGAAAAAGAAACGTAAGCTAGTCTTAAAATCTTACTTTCAGCATGGTCAATTCAGGTCTCTCGCCTCATCTTACTCACTCTTTATCTCTCTCAGTGCTCACATGTTGCTCACAATTGTATGTGTGCATGTAATCATGCTATATACAAGAGCTTTTAGTTGAATGATCTCAAAAATACATGAGTGTGGAATGATTTTGTTGTTGTGGTCAATGTGCGAGATCGACCATTTACGGTAATGTTAGTTATACCATTTCTGATGTTTGCGAAAAAAAAAATATTCATTGAGTAAATGAGACGCGGAAAAGAAGAAGAAATCGATATTGATGCATAGGATGCAAAACGAGATTCTTCGGTTAGATACAAAATTGATATTAGTAATGGCAACCCCTTGACGATCGATGTCGATATTATTTAATACACTATAGTGAAATTTTATATTTTTACGGAAATGTCAAAAAATTGATTTTTTATAATGAAGTTAAACACGTTTTTTAAAAAACGCTAGTGAAAACTGGAAAATTATTAACAATTTTCGCTTTTTTCTTTCTAATCATAATTTATATTTTTTTTGTATTAAGTTAAAAGAAAGGAGAGAAAATGGACCGATTGGAAACGTGTTTTGAGATGATAATAAATTAGTTTGAGGCACATTTGATGAATTGATTGATTTTGCTACAATACAATGGGAATTTGCAATACAAAAAATTGAAGGAAATTGATATGAAACAAAAATGTTTTTAAATGTCTTATAAAGTACAAGTTCGAATCTTGAGCGTTTCTAAACATATGAGATGCGTTATAGTCATATTTTTTTTTTGGTCTATTGAGTACTGACCTCGATTCTTCTTAAAGATTCCCTTTCACTTAAACTATTCAAATTCTGTCTGTATATAATAATTAAAGAATTCCAATAGAAATTCCTGGAAACCCATTGTTCTTTTTAAAAAATGACCGTTAATTTTGGACGCCATAAGTGAACGACCCTTAAAAGGATCATTCATAAATGATGTTCAAGTATGAATCAAGGGAAAAATTAAGCTGTGATAACTGATTGATAATTCCTCTAATTTCAAGCATAGATCTTTGCTAATTAGCGGAGATCTGACTTTAATTGATGTTTTTATAAACAGATCTCAAAAGGATCTCGAATATCAAATTCTATTGAACGTCATTTATGAACTACTCCCAGCACAAATGCCTCAAGCTTCAATGATTGCTCTTAGAGTGCATTTCCTTGATTTTTCATTTATCACAACAAAAAGAAATTTTCCAGACAGCATATTATGGCTTCATTACTGAATCCAAAGGTCATCACCCATCAGACAGAAAGCCCATCGCACAAAGAAATAAAAAACTCTCGCCATCAATCTCGCAAAGATGAAATTAAATTAAAAAAAATTATTTCAGCACAACATTGCGCATTGCTAATTACATCAAATTATTGGATGCATTGAATGATATAATTGATCTATGATAAATGAAAAGCAGACTCATTGTTGGAACATACCGCAAAACACTAGCAGCAAGCAGGCAGGCATCAGCAATTGACAATAAAATAAAAGTTTCATAATTGGTTTTGATAGATGAGAAAGCAATAATTTGACACCTCATCATGCAGCTTGGTAGAGATTAAAAAATAACAAATTATTGTTATTGATCAATCAATTAATGCACAAATTATTATAGATCAATTTTGTACGTACGCTAAAATGAGGTGAATAAAAAAAGTGAAATTAAAAAAAAATTATCATAGAGAAATTGTTTGAAAGTGATTTTTTTATGCCTATACAGACAGCACAAGTTGCACAATATCTATATTATTTTTTTATTTGAATATAAACTATCGAGAACTGTTTTCTAATCTAGTTTTCAAAGATTTCATAAGTAAGACATAAATGTGTGACTCAGTGCTCTTTAATAATTTCATATATCGACTCCTCCCCTGTATAAAGTTATTGCTAATATGACACAGAAAGCAACAGAAACATGTTACGCGAACACCCAGCAGAATACAATGATTTAATGACAGTGTAAGCAAATGACTTAAGCGCATTTTTGCTTGTGCCATAGCTATAATTATCATTAAATTTTACGAGAGAGTAAAAGACATCAATGGACACCGACTAGATTGCATGGGGTTCTAGATACTTTGATACTTTGTAAGGCAATTGAATTAGTTATGTATGGCTATGCTCTAGAAAAAATATTAACTTACTGATCTAGTGATGTAATATGGACTTTTCTGAACTTTGATTGATGTTTAGTACTTATGACCTGAATCATGTGCTGCTTAAGGGTTCAACTTCTATCAGAATTTAAGCTTTTTCTGTTCGCGACACTCCAGACCTATTTGACATTCTGAATAAATCTCGCAACAGACCTGAAGATTTTCGCTACACCCTAGTTCGTCACTACGAATAGTTTGGAACTCATTGCTCTAGATTGATGAAAACTTAGAGGAAGAGTTCAAATCAACAAAAATTCCGAAAAACTTTCCAAAAACCATAAATAATCGATTCCCTACAAATTATCTTATTAAGATATTTTAAATTACCAATTTTAAATAGCTTACTGCTCAACCTCATTGCTTAATTGAGTTAATTTGAGACACTATCCCATTATAGATTAATATTAAAAATGCATCAAAGCGTTGATCACGTTTTTCTTCTATTTAGACGAGAATGAAGCTGAAAATGATTTGATACAACAAGATGTAAGGTCAAATGAGTCTTTGAAGTCAATCTGTTAGTCATCAACTTAAAAAATGTACATTTTTAATTTCAACAATCATATTTTGCAGAATGAATAGATCAGAGGTCGTACATTAATGAGGTCTGTAAGGAAATGAAATATCTTCTATGATCTAAATGTGGAGGTAGGAATGGATGTCAAGTAGGATGGATTGGGGTGTTTGTGTATCAAATCTTACGATTTCAGGAGCTCTCATCAGCTTCAGAAGACATGATGAACATTCAAATGGATTGGGAACTACATAACTCGGGTCACATCAGAAGCAGATGCAGCCTCAAAGTCATTAAGAATGTCCTGCAAATGCCAACTTATAACTTAAAATTAAACATAAGCCCAACAAGCTGCAAAATCCAGCAAGTCACTCAGTAAGCAAAAGTAAACTTAAAAGCTCACTTGTTCACATTAATGCCCACCCAAAAAGTTATGCTTATGAGAAATGACTGTGGCAGTCTGTAAGTGCGGCTATGAAGAAATGAAAAAAAAAAGTTTCTCAAGTTAAACTTCAATATTAATCACATTAGAAGAAATGGCACTGAGGCAATAAATGAAATGAGAGAGAAAGAAAGAAGGCATTAAGTGAAACAAATAAGGCACAAGCAAGCTGGCTGTACATATTCTTCGCTCGTGGCGAGCGACTGAGAGAAAGTTTTTCCTCATTTCTTATTTTTAATAAGGTTTTAATGTCGCGCATTGGGTCGCCACTATTAGTCACCAACTACTTCATACGAACATAATTTCGTAACTGCCTTCCTGCAAATTCGTTGTGCAGCATTTGCTCATAGTTCTCAATAGTCATATTATTTATGCAGCACACAATCTTTTGTTCCAAATTGGCAGTTTTGTGCACGAGGTGAGGTCGAGAAAAACAACAAATTCAATGCTTTTATTGCTCCATCTACAGCTATTGAATTTAGTTCCCTCAACGTTAATTTAATTAAGATTTATATTTGCCCACAATTGTGCATTATTATATGCTCAAGAATTAGCATAATTAACACCCAAACAAAAGATTTGACGGTTTGTTTATGCTGCGAACCTTAAAATTAAAATTTATTTATAGAAAAAATTATTTTGAGCATTTCGTGTGCCCATGAACTTTTCGTGATGAGCACTTTCGTTTTCATTCAATTTTTATTATACATACAAAACATTAAAGAAAGCAAGTTGGAAGTTGTGATGGGAAGATGAGCGATGAAGTGCATTTTTAGGAACGGAAGTGAATATTCATGTTAGGCAGTGATGTCTAAGTTTGGTAGTAAGCTATGCCCGAAACCGTACACTACATATGATTCGTGGAATTTTCTGAAATTTTTTCGCGGCACTAGTGTGGCTTAGACGTTTATTAATGATGACTGATTGGAACTTAGAAGAGGGGGGGGGGGGGGGGGAGGGGGGGGGGGGGGGGGGGGGGGGGGGGGGGGGGGGGGGGGGAGGGGGGGGGGGAGGG